ATATATGTATCATATATATCATATATGATATATATATATCATATATAATGTAAGGGGGGGGGTCCGGCGGAACGTCGGAGGGAGAGACCACACAAGAGACTTACTCCATGCAATTGGCAAAAGGGGATTTATTGGGGATCCATTCCAGCGCGCTGGGACTCTGTGCCCACTCAAGAAGGGAGCGCAGCTCAGAGCCCAGAGCAAAGGTCAAGCAGAGCTTAAGTACACTTTTTGGAGAGGGCGGTGGGCTTTGCATACATCAGAACAAATCATCATGAGGCGYGGGRAAATTGAACAACAAYTCTGAGAHGTGATTGGCACAATCATTGGCAGGAACAGGTGGGGCGGGGGTGATTCGTCATTCCTAAGCGGGTTACACATTCAAACTGATTGGTCCGGGCCCTGTGAGGAACTGCACAGGGCCCTAGGCTAAACGGCCAGAAGGGCCTTGTTTTAACTATCTCAGGAATTCCAAGTTCTGGGTGTAACAGAGGAACTTAATAATACCTAATCTTTTACATTCAAGCTTTCCAGCTTAGAAACTTTACCCTTTCAATATCATATATGATATATATATATATCATATATAATATATGATTAATATAATCATATATCTGTCCTTCTGTGTTTATTATTACACTTAGCACAGTATTTTACAAATTTATCCATGTTGTAGCATGTATATGAATTTCATTCCATCTTATAATAGAATAATATTTCTATTTTATGTATATATAGTACCACAATTTGTTTATCCATCCATCTGGTGATACACAACTTTGGTTGTTTACACCTTTTGGTTATTGTGAATAATTCTGCTATGAGTGTTGGTATGTTCGAGTTCTGCTTTCAGTTCTTCGGGGTAGATACATAGAAGTAGGATTGCTAAATCATATGATAATACTGTTTAGCTTTATGAATAACTACCAAACTGTTTTTCACAGTAATTGCAGCATTTTATAATCCAGCCATGCATGAGAGTTCCAGTTTTTCCATATCCTTTCCAACACTTGTTATTTTCCATTTTATTGATAATAACCATTCTAGTGGGTGTTAGTTTATTGTGATTTTAATTTCTATTTCCCTCATGACTGATGAAGTTGTGCATTCTTTTTATGTGCTTATTGACCATGTGTGTATCTTCCTGGCAGAAATGTCTATTCAATCTCCTTGTCTATTTTGGATATAGGTTGTATTTTTGTTTTTGAGTTGCAGGAGTTCTTTACATATTTTGGTAGAAATTACTTATATGCACTACATGTGATTTGCAAGAATTTTCTTCCAGTCTTTGAGTTGTATTTTCACTCTTTTGATAGTGTCCTTTGGTGTACAGAAGTTGTTCATTTTGATAAAATCAAATTTACCTACTTTTTCTTTCGTTATTTACACTTTTGGTTTTGTGTTCATGAAATAGTGCCATTTTCAATTTCATAAAGATTTAACATTATGTTTTCTTCAAAGATTTTTATAGTTTTGGCTTTTTACTTTAGGTCATCAATCTTTTTAAAATATTTTTTAAATTGTCAATGGATCTTTATTTTATTTATTAATTTATTTATATGTGGTGCTGAGAATTGAACCCAGTGCTGAGCCACAACTCCAGCCCCATCAATCATTTTGAGTTAACTTTTAGATGAGGTGGAAGTTAAAGATTCAATATCATTCTTTTGCATGTGGCTATCCAGTTTTCCCAGTACCATTTGTTGAAAAAACTATCTTTCTCCATTGAATGGTCTTGACATCCTTGTCAAAAATCAATTGACCAAATACATGAGTGTTTATTTCTGGACTCCCTATTCTATTGGTATATATGTATTCTCCTCATGCAAGTAGTGCACTAGTTTGATTATTGTAGCTTTGTAATAAGCTTTGAATTTAGAAAAGTATAAGTCCTCAATCTTTGTTCTTCTTTTTCAAAACTGTTTTAGCTATTTCAGATCTATTAAGGATTCCATATAAATTTTGGGACAAATGTTTCCATTTCTAAAAAAACAAAACAAAACAAAAAAATGGGATCTTGATAGGGATTGTGTCGAATCTGTTCTTTGGGTTGTAATGGCATCTTAATATTCTCTTCCAATCCATAAATATGGGATATCTTTTCATTTAGTCATGTCTTCTTCTTCTTTTTTTTTTTTTTTTTGGCAATGTTTTGTAGATTTTAGTGCACAAGTCTTTCACTTCCTTGGCTAAACTTATACCTAAGTATTTTATTCTTTTTGAAGCTATTGTAAATAGAATTGTTTTCTTACTTTTCTTTTCATATTGCTAAATGCTAATGAGTAGAAACATAACCAGTTTTTGTTTTGGAACCTGCAAATTTGATAATTTAATTAATTTGATCGATTCTAAAAGTTGTGTGCCTGTATAATCTTTAGCATTTACTAGAGTTGGCTTTTTTTTTTTTTTTTAAGGAAACACAATTTTATTTGAAAGCATTGAAAGGGTAAAGTTTCTAAGCTGCAAAGCCTGAGTTAAAATGTAAAGGACCAGGCATTGTAAAGCTGCTTCTAATCTGCAAAGCCTGAGTTAAAATGTAAAGGACTAGGTATTGTAAAGTTTCTGAACTGCACACAGAACCTGAAATTCCTGAGGCAGTTAAGACAATGCCCCATTGACCATTTAGTTGATTAATAGCCTAGGACCCTGTGCAGCTTGGTACATAGGCATTCAGGGCCCGAACCAATCAGTTTGAATGTAACCCCCTCCTTAGGAATGACCTATCACTCCAGCCCGACCTGTTCCCACCAATTAATGTACTAATCAAGTCTAAGAATTGTTGTTTGATTTTCCCGCGGTGTATGGTGATTTGTTAAAGGAGAATGTGATATATGTAGAGTCCCTGCCCTCCCCAGAAAGTGTACTTAAGCACTGCTCAACCCCTGCTCTGGGCTCTGGGCTACTCTCCCTTCTTGAGTGAGCATGGAGCCCCAGCGCTCTGGATCAATAAACCCCCTTGCATGAGTCTGTCTCTTGGTGGTCTCTTCCTCCTACGTTCGACGGACCCTTACAGCATGACTGACAAAACTATGTTTTTTCAGTCTTGCTATTTGACAGGCATTTTCTGAAAAGTGGAATAAATACAACTGTCACTTCATGAAAAACACTAGACTGTATTTTTTGCCAATGGAAAAAAAACTCAAGCTGTATTAATGTTTTGGAAAATATATCTTCCATCTTGAGTTTAACAGTCTTCCCTCTACTTAAAGCCTTTTCTGGGGGAGATCAGTATTGATATTAATAAATGTGATTTTCTGGTATTGTACAATGAAACATGATGGAATACTTTCAAAATTCAGTGAACCAATTTTTTTTCCCAAATGACTAATACATGATATTACAAATCATGTATGAGTAAAACATTTATTCAAAGACCAAGACAGACTAAGGGATTGCAATGTAACAATATGAGAAGTTATTGATTCATTGGTGTAGTTTAAGATTCTAAATTGCAATTAACCTCCAAAAGAATTATAAGTGCGGAGGGAGGGGGGAAGTGCAGGAGAGTAATACTGGCCAAATTATATTCTTATATTGTGTGTGCATGTACAGATATGTAACAACAAATCCCATCATTATGTATAACTATGATGCACCAATAAAAAATGTGGAAAAAATAACAAATCAACCTGCATCTTTGGGATAAACAAAAGAAAAAAAGTGGGGGACCCATTACTTTTGAATATATGGCTAGCTTCAATTACCTCTTTCTCCACCACCATTCTATCAATAAACACCACCAAGAGCAAAAACAGTTAACATTTTATTGGGCGTTTGTTATATGACAAAGAACTTTGTGTATTGCCTTTATCTACTAAGAACTTTATATGTACAAACTCATTTAATCCTCATAACAGTAAATGAATTCTACTTTTCATAGGAAGTAGCAGCCTCAGACACCATTTATCAACTCAATCATCATCCCTTTACTCCCTTTTTCTTCCTTTAATAACAAAATGTCATTCCATTGGCTAAGGGCAATCCTTTTTTTTTAATATATCAATCAATTAAGTAATTTTACGGTAGAATGCATTTTGACATACAGTACACATATGGAGCACAGCTTCTCATTCCTCTGGTTGTACAAGGTTCAGGGTCCAACTCTTTTATTTAAGCCCTGGATCTGAGAATCCCAGCTCCATCCAATATCCCCTCCCTTTCCATTGTCCCTATTCTGTTAGAATTTAGATATGTTCCTTTCTTATCCTATCTTTAGAGAAACTCTAATAATGTTGGTGGTGTAGCTCAGTGGTAGATCGCTTGCCTAGCAAGTGCAAGGCTCTTGAGTTGAACCCCAGCACACCCAGTAGGTAAATAAAGTTATCTACTAACACCACCAGTAAAGCCTTTCCCCAAACTTGCTAAGCGTCAGCCATTTTCACTCTCCTTTTCATGGGTCCACTTTTTAAGAACTGTTCACCTTTACAACTTCTACTTCCTAAACTTCCATTCTCTTCACAATCCACTACAACGTGGTTTCTGCTCCTTCTGTGAGACACCTGACCTCTTTTCTGCAAAAGATACCACGACCTTATTCCTTCATTTAAACTTTCTTTGGCTTCTCTGACATCACCACTCCTGTGATGGTTGAGATAAGTGACACAGGTGACCTAAAAAGAGGGAAACGCTACAATAAAGTAGGACATGTGAATGGAGAAGGAAGCAACGGAAGTGGAGACTGCCGCTTTTTGAGAGGGAGCTTGGGAGAAAACAAGCAAAAGGGTCACACTGGGCCACAAAGTAACTGTGACTTTCACCCTCTGTCCTGCTTCACTTTCACCCTCTTTCCACATCCTTAGCGGCTGGTAGGTACTCAAGGCAAAGCCTGAGGGTTCTGAGTACACGACAGACGCGAGGGCTGACTGGCGATATGCGAATTCAGGTGGTTCTTCGAAGAGGCCGGATCGCCAGCGGAACCCCAACGATGGGCAGAGATTGCAACCCGACGCCGGATGACGGAGGCGTGCGCGTGTGCGTGCTGTCGCTTCCGGCGCCGTTCGCTTCCCGAGGTGCTGGGACGCTGCTGCACCAGGCATCTTCCACGCGCGCTCCAGCTATCGCCGCCGGCTCCCAGAGGCCGTAGGGCGGCGCGCGACACCCGGGAGGCGGGTTGGAGGCTGGCCCTATGTCCCGCGTTTCCTGCCCCGCCCTCAGCTTGTGACACTGAGAAAGTGTGTGGCGGGAGGAAAGATCCGGGTTAGATAGATTTCCCTGCAGTTCTGGTGTGGTTGAACCCTGTAAGCCCACATGTAAGAGGGGGGGGAAAATGAAGAAATTAAGGCTCAAGGAACTAGAGAGTCGCCTGCAACAAGTGGATGGATTCGAAAAGCCTAAGCTACTTCTAGAACAGTATCCGACCAGGCCGCACATTGCAGGTAGGGCGGCTGGTTCACCATGCCCTAGCTTCTGGGGTTAGCCTTATATGCTTACTCCTTGATGAAAAAAAGAAACGTAATTTGGTTAGGGACTGTCTGGAGAAATTCCGCTTTAAGATCGCGTGTCACTTTAGAGAGGCCTTTACACCGCAGTTAAAGACAGTCCCCTGCCGGTCCTAAACACACACACTTTTTTCCTGTTTGGTTTTCTGCGTACTTCTTAGCACTGTTTGTTTCTCTCATAAAGGAATTTGTTAGTCTTGTCMCCCCCCCCCCCCCGAATTCCCAGTGCCTAAAAAAGTTGCTGTACTAGTTCGGAGCTCAGTAAATATTTGCTAAGTAAGGATCATTTTCCTCTTAGAATGAATTGTCAGGGATTGGAATTGCAAGATTCTGATGCAATCCTCTGCCCTACAAATGAATACTAGAGTTGGTAGTGGAAGGACTTGAATTTAGCAAAATCAGAGTATGGCTGTATAAAGAGATGAGGACACGTTTTAATTTTAACCCATTACTTGAGAATTAGCACTGTTTCTTGATGCCAGCAATTGACATAGAGTACAGAAGGGAATATAGAAAGATCCATATTTAATAATWATATAATAAAGTGGTGGGGAAACCTTAGGAAAATTAATTTCCTGGGAACACTTGCAAGGGGGACTATTTTCCAGTTCCAAAATAGTTGTTTCTAAGCTGCCAATGAGAAGGATAAAGAATGTATACATACCTGCAGTTAACTCTAAGATGTTGGCGTAGTACCAACCAAAAATCCACACAAAACTTTTGTGCAAAACTGGGGAATGAAATTGACCAAATTTCTTCATTTTGTGTATGTAAATATGTCAAAATGAATCCCACTATTATGTAAAATTATAATATGCCAGTACAAATTAATTTAAACTGTGTCTAGGTTAAGATCAGTTTTCTCAGTTTATAATGACTTCTTATAGTCTTCTGTAGGGTTTTAGTTTTTTTTGTGAAATACAATTTTTAAAAAATAAGTTGTTTCACACCTAGTTTGTAGCATGCACACAGGTGTGCTTCTTTTCAGAAACCAGCTTCAAAGTAATCACACCCACATCAGTAATTACACATTCAGTCTGAAATAGCCCTATAATTGTGTTTTTAATAAAATCTCTGGGGCTGGGGATGTGGCTCAAGCGGTAGTGCGCTCGCCTGGCATGCGTGCGGCCCGGGTTCGATCCTCAGCACCACATACCAACAAAGATGTTGTGTCCGCCGAAAACTAAAAAATAAATATTAAAAATTCTCTCTCTCTCTCTCTCCCCTTCTCTCTCTCTCGCTCTCTCTTTAAAAAAATAAAATAAAATAAAATAAAAAATAAAATTTCTGGAACCTCAGCCACTAGGGATTGCCAGTAGCCCTTGCTGAGGTCAGATATCCACAGAGAGATATAAGTGGTATTATTCATGCTTAACCTACAGTTAACCTTGTGTTTGAAAAACCTCTTTCTCAGCAACCTTCTGCCCTGTTCCTTAGTTCTCTTATCAGTTATCATTTGTAGATTATGAATATGTGTCTTAAGATATATATATCTATGTGTGTGTATATATATATATATATATATATATATATATATATATATCTGTATACACATGTGTGCACGCACGCGCGTGCACACACACACACATTACACACACATATATATATATATAGGATGTAGGAGATTATGATACCTGTGTTCTGATGACAAACTTTACAAAAAAGTTATGTGCCCCTTTAATGCTAATGCTTGTTTGATATTACTGGTTCCTAGACTTGTAGTCTTCCCACATTAGTAAACTTTTAAAGCTGACTGATACAGGGCTGCCAAACTTACATTTTGACAAGGAAGGATATTTATAACTCTATTTACTTGTACTATTCTTTTATATAAACTACTTCAGCATCAAAGAAAAAACTAATAGATACACATACACACACAGAACAATGTTTTGAATAGGTGGCTGAGGAAAAATAAAGCATTTTTCTCATTTTACTTGAGATACTAGTGACAGTTTTGTCATTCTTGGCATTATTACCAGAGACAGTTTTTTGGGAACCTCTAATAGGTGTTATCCTCCTTTGTGGTGCTTTTTACTACATACCAAGTAATCTTTTTTTTTTTTTTTTAATTACATGGTACACTGATTTGTACAAATTAAATGAGTCATACCCTACTTATTCCCTAATATGTTTTAAAATTGTTCTTTAGCATGTATGCTTTATACAATCCATAACACATATGATGACATTGAAAATAAAGTCGTTGCAGACCTAGGATGTGGTTGTGGAGTGCTTAGCATCGGAACTGCAATGTTAGGAGCAGGGTAAGTGATCCAACTTATACTATTTGGGTATGGGGCAGCCTTAATAAGTGTAAATAGGATGAACTGAATTATATTCATGGGACTCTAAACAATGAGATGGGGGACCAGTAATCTAATACTGAGTATATTTTGAATGTACAGAATATCAAAAACTATATATTTGTTTGTTTATAGGATGTAAATAAAGATAGGCAGTATGGTTGAATCCCAGAGGCTCAGGAGGCTGAGACAGGAGGATTGCAAGTTCAATGCCAGCCTCAGCAATTTAGTGAGGTCCTCAGCAACTTAGACCCTGTCTCAAAATTCTAAAAAGGGCTGGGGATGTGCCTCAGTGGTTGAGCATCCTGTCTTCAATCCCCAGTACCAAAAAATAAATAAATAAAAAGTATAACAGCAAACTTTGGATTGTGCAGAGGGGAGGGGAAAGGGTATGGGGTTAGGGAGGACGGTGGAATGAGATGGACATTATTATCCTATATGTATGATTATGCTACCTCTGTGACTCTGCACCATGTTCAGCCAGAGGAAGGAGAAGTTGTGCTCCATTTGTGTACAGTGTGTCAAAATGCATTCTTCTATCACGTATAACTAATTAGAATAGTTTTTTTTTAAAGTATAAGAGCAGCAGTCCCTTTTATATACATCTGAGTTTCCAACCCTGGCTGCATTGGGAAATCATGCTGTTGAAAAGCTACACCCACTCTTAACTTTTGTTAACTGAGTTAAAAAGCATAAGTAAAAACTTTTTGTTTTGTTGTGGGAGTGTAAGATGCCACTCTTTGTGTTTTGCATTTATAGGTTGTGTGTTGGATTTGACATAGATGAAGATGCATTGGAAATATTTAATAGGAATGTGGAAGAGTTTGAGTTAACAAATGTGGATATAGTTCAATGTGATGTATGCTCATTATCCAACAGAATGTCTAAGTCTTTTGATACAGTAATAATGAATCCTCCGTTTGGGACCAAAAATAATAAAGGTTAGTAACAAGAATTAGATGTACTAGTGTATTCATAGGAAAGCAAGTTTTAAAGAACATTTTACTATTAACTAGATTAAGTGATTTTTTCATTGATCATTAAATAAACCAATCTTCTACCTGTATAGGTATTATAACTTAAATTTCAGTTTATTTAGGAATTGAATTTTTAATCTTTATTTTTACAAATTTGTATTAAGTAAATTTTCATCATTTATGATTAATATTTGGGATGATTTGTCTGGCCCTTATAAATGATTATGAAACTTATAAAGGATTTTGTACTTTTTGAATCTGCCTTTTTTTTTCAGGGGTAGTGCTGGGAATTGATCATAAAACTTCACCAATGCTAAACACACATTCTGGTTTTTTTTTTTTAATGTGTATTTTTTAGTTGTAGTTGGACAAATACCTTTATTTTATTTATTTATTTCTATGTGGTTGAGAATTGAACCCAGTGCTCTACTGCTGAGCCACAACCCCAGCCCTAAACACACATTCTTATCACTGAGCTATAACTCCAGCCACTCAAACCTGTTTTTTTTTCTTTTTAAAATATATATATTTTAGTTGTTAATAGAGACCTTTTTAAATTTATTTACATGCTGTGCTGAGAATCAAACCCAGTGCCTCACACATGCCAGGCAAGTGC